AAATATACAAAGTCTTTTTTCAGTCAAAAAATAAATTTAAAGCTAACTCTGGAAAAAACACAAAATATAAAGTCTTTTATGAGATTAACTGCTTTTTTCTAGATTTTCTTGAAAAAGCCCTCACATTTTACAATTTTTTTTGGAAAAAAAATGACTAAAAGGGCCAAGATTGGAAAAAATGAAAAAATACAAGGTCTTTTTCTGTCAAAAAATAAATTTGAGATTTAATCAAGAAAAAACACACAATATAAGGTCTTTTATGAGATTACCCCTTATTTTTTTCCAATCAAACCATAAAAGTTTCAAACACATTTTCCAAATTAACCAATTTGACATGATATAACAGAGGTCAAAATGATCAATTTGAAAAATTTTCTGAAACTTTTATGGTTTGATTTTAAAAAAATAAAGTATATAAGTGGTTACTTTTATTTATTTATTTATTTTGTAATTTACTGTTTATAAGAACAACATATTTCTCACCATTATATCAATGTTAACAGATATGAGCTTCCAGATTCACATCCTCTCTTGGAAGGGGTAAGCATACATTTTGGAAAACACAATTTTTATTTTCATTAAATTTTTTTTTTTTTTTTTTCCAACAAATGTTTCTCTAAATTCCAGCTGGACAAACGAGAGCCTGATGATCCTTGCTCATACCTCCTTGCAATTTGGACACCTGGTAAACTCCTACTATTTTACTTTCAATATTTTTTTCTTATTATACCATTTAAAATTGCTTTGTATTTAAATTACAATGTTCTAATTAAATAGATTTTTCAAAGTACAATGTTGTAATAGGAAGAAATTAAATTTGCTATTTTTTTTTTTTTAAATAATAGGTGAAACTGCTGAATCGATTCAGCCACCAGGAGGACAATGTAGCTCTCAAGAATCTGGTAACTTATGTCATAAAGAAACATGTTTTTCATGCAACAGCATACGAGAAGCAAATTCCCAAACTGTTAGAGGAACACTCTTGGTAAAATTACACTTTTACCCCTACGCTATAATTGTCATGTTTCCTAAAATTAACGGATCAAAGACTAAAAACGTTAAGAAACAGTGAAATAGGGATTAAAAAAAAAGGATTCCTTTTTGGACAATATTCGATTAGTTTGATATAACTCAGGGACCAAAAGTGTAATTTATATCTGATTTATTATTGTCCCTACACTATAATCGGCATATTTCCTAAAATTAATGAATCAAGGACTAAAAACTTTAAGAAATAGAGAAATAGGGATGGAAAAAAAAAGCAAAAGGATTCCTTTTTGGACAATATTCGAATAGTTTGATATAACTCAGGGACCAAAAGTGTAATTTATATCTGATTTATTATTGTCCCTACACTAATCGTCATATTTCCTAAAATTAACGAATCAAGGACTAAAAACGTTAAGAAACAGTGAAACAGGGATGAAAAGAATATTTGAATAAATCGATATAACTCAGGGACCAAAAATGTAATTTATATCTGATTTGGATCTTATATATATATATACAATGAATAGATTCCATGTCGAACTGCAATGAGGGGGAGCTTCCCACTCAATGGCACATACTTTCAAGTTAATGAGGTAATATCAAACTACTTTAAAAAACACAATATGTCTTTGATTTAAATAAGATAAGTAAATAAAAATAGATCGCTATATAAAATTTTGAATTTTTTTTTTTGGTTGAAATGTGTAGGTGTTTGCAGATCATGACTCCAGCCTTAACCCAATTGATGTCCCAAGATCTTGGTTATGGAATTTACCAAGAAGAACAGTTTACTTTGGAACTTCCATACCAACAATATTTAAAGGTAAAAATACATAATAGGATAAATAAATCATACAGAAAACGAATCAAAGTAAAAGTGTTTTTCTGTTTTTTTATTATCTTTTTTTCTTACAGAATATCAGTGTAAAAAGTTGATATTAAAGAATTCTACCTATACTGACTGTGTATTTATATATCAACTTTTATTTACTAGGCTTGACAACAGAAGGTATTCAATACTGCTTCTGGAGAGGTATGTAGAGATATATATAGTTTCTAATTTATATAGTTTAATAAAAATCTTTGACTAATAACAAAATGCCTAAATTGCCCCTTTAGTAAGATACGGGAAATCTCCGATAATGTCTCAATATTTTGGGTCAGTTTACGGTTTAAATGTTTAATTCTAACATTTATATTTTGAACAAAAAAGTCCCGATTATCTAGTTTTATATAATAATCTGTTATTTTCTGTTGAAAAAAATAAGGATTGTTTCGTTAATTTAGGCAAAATATAAAATAATTGGGTATTTTCTGTTTAAAAAAATAAAAGTTGGGATTAAACCGTAAAACTGACCCAAAATATTGAGACTTTGTCGGATTCCCTCATTCATGAACAACCAATCTCAAAAAAAAAAATGGTCCTTAATGCAGAAAAAAAAATGCGTCAGTATTTTCTAATTTATTTTAAAAAATAAATATTAAAAAAATATTGTCTCATCTTTTAGGGTTTGTTTGCGTGAGGGGATTTGATCAGAAGACACGGGCCCCACGTCCCCTAATGGCCAGACTACACTTCCCAGCTAGCAAATTAAAAAGATCAAGAGGAAGAAATGATGAAAATTAGATATATATAAATGGATGGATGCACATACATTTGCTGATTAAAAAAAAAAAAAAAAAAAAAAAAAAAGGCTGACTAATGACATGGTTTATGGTTTAGAGATGATAGAGGCACAATGGCACATGACTAATTTGTAATAATAAAAAGATGGATAGTGTGTTTCTCCATTTGTAATTACTTTTAGTGATGTTAATGAGTTTTTTCTTCAAAGAACCTACTACAAAAACATGAAAGCATATTAGGGAAAATAGTAAAAACATATTTTGCTTAGTTTTTTTTAACCCAAATAGTAGAACATATTTTGCTTTGATTTTTTAAACCCAAATAGTAGAACATATTTTGCTTTGATTTTTTAAACCCAAATAGGCGATTTACAATAAACATAAAAACCATTATATTTCAGTTTGATTAATGAAAGTCATCCAATTTTGACACTTTTTTTTACTTTGGTCATAATGGCATGCTAGCTACAGTAAGTTATATGGTCATACTAGAAAAAAAAATTGTCAAAGTTTACCAATTTTAGTGGAATTTTTAGTGTCAAGGTTTAGTCTAAGAGTTTTTTGTTGTTATCTGTAGTATAAATAATAGTCCACACGGAAAAAAATTGTTAAACTTTGGCTTTCACTAACCAAATAAAGTCATGTTTGTTTATCTCTTATTATTGCCTTTTAATAAGCCACATGTCTGATTAAGAGCATTTGTGTACCTCTTCTTTGATCTCATTAGTTTCGTCGTCCATCAAAACTACGTACTCTTCTTTCTCGCTGTCTAATTGTTAGTAGATCCTGAATCCAGAAGTTAACTCCAACTTTCATTATCTTTGAGTTAATTAGTTGTTAGCGTTAAAACAACCCAAAATCCGAAGCCCATTTAACAAAGGCCCAACAAAGAATGTACGCGGGGCGTACTCCTCTGGTATGCAGGGCATACTCGTCTAGATGTTGACCACCATCAGGGTGGTTGACCCAGTACGTTAGGCGTACTGGATTTATGTTGGGCGTACTCAACAGTTTGTCAAAACCTTATTAAGTGCTTAATGGCTTAAGCACTTAAGCCTAAACTTAAGATCCAGAGACCTAACATGCCTAGGATCCATAAAGACATGAACTTTATCACTTTTAACGCCCATATAATTCTTAATGCTTGGTCTTAATCCATTAAGACCTTATTTCTCCATACATGGGACACATACAGTTAATGGGACTTCATTTTTATCATTCAAGGTCCCTTCAAGAGTCTAGAAGGACAGCCATTTTCGTCCAAATCACAACATGCACCACCTTATGGCTTTTGGGACAAGAAATGCTTCTAATAAAGTAAAATGATGAGATCTATGCATATATGCATAATGTTTGGAACTTTATACCTTCTGGAGCTTCTTAAACACAAGCTAACTTTAGATCTACAAGCTTGATCTTCTTCTCCAACACTTTGATGCAATACCTTCCTCTTAAAGTACTCAAGAACACACCAAATAAGCTTAAACACACAAAGGAAAGGCTAGGGTTTGGGGAGGAAGAATGCAATCTGTGGAGGCTGAGGTAAGGGAGGTTTTGATGCTTATATAGGCCCCAAACCCTAAATATTAAGGTTTCACTCTGACATTAGTACGCCCAGTGTACTAAGGCGTACTCTTATGTACGCGCAGCGTACTCCCTCTTGGCCCAAGTTTGCAAACTTGGCCCTTAAACTTATCTTGGCTCTTCACTTCCAACCCCAAATACTATAAATGACAGGGAAATGATAGAAAAGGGTTCGGAAATACCTGCCAAATCTTCTTCCTTTAACCAAATTGTTTTTTTTTTCAAGAATGAAGGTCCAAAATGCAAGTTCTATGAATGGGTGGATTCTGAAACCCAGGAAATGAATTTAGTTCCACAAAAACAAGTTAAATAGAACCGTGTAATCTTACCCTTTTCTACATTGGAAAACGAGATCAACATATGCAAGATGAAGATGAAACAAGAAAATTTTGTTGTTAGACAAAAGTTTGACAAACTGAAATGGAAGTTATTTAGTTATAAAGTTGTGATGTATGTGTTGTTTGTATTGTTTGTGTTTAACAAGTAGTTAGATGTATTACAAAAACTGTATTCACAGTTGTATTTTGAGTAAATGTTGCATTTTGTTTGTTTGATGTTTTAAAACTAAATCTTGTTGATTAGTGAAAGTTTGATGTTTTGACTGGTTTGAAACAATTGTTAAATAGGTTAGTGAATTGAAAATGATCCGGATTAACCACAACAACAAACATTTGTTAATATGTTAAAAGAGGGGTAAAATGGTCGAAATTAACGACCGCAACAGCAAAGATGTAAAATCCAAGATAAAGAACCAAAAACCAACATGTGATCTAGATAAAAGACAAAGTTTTAAGATTCCATTAGCATGTGCAACGTTACAAAAGTTATGCCTACATTTGTCCTAATATGTCAAAAGATGTGTCATTGACAATTACATAATTAAAAGACTAAAGGTTTGTCTTCCTCATCAACCCTAACTTGGTAATTCTTTCTAAGTATTTCCTTATCCTCTTCACAGTTGAACCTCATCCACTTAAATTGCATCCTCCACTTGAATTGCTTTCTCATGAACCTCTTTCACCTGAACATCCTTCCACTGGACCTTCCAGTTAAACCTCCACGTAAACCTCCTTCACAAATACTCGGTGACAAATCTGAGGCCATCTTCTTCACAAATAAAAGTCACATTCAACAATTGTCTTCAATTTCATAACCCTAATCTTCTATTGACATTACATGGTGTAGAATCAAGGGTTGAGGTGTTTGTAATCATGATTGTGGAACCCTACTTTAAGGAGAAACAGGGTTGAAGTGTATATTAATTCCACGTGGTACATGTTATCAATAATTAAACGATGTCATTGAAGGAAACCAGCAAAACAGGTGAGGTATAGGTTACCACAAACAAGCTAGAGGGTTTGTTGACTACTAAAAAAGAACGAATAAAAAAAGAAACCAAATGTGAACAAAATCAAGAGTTGATTACCCAATCCAAAGGATAATTTAGACCTAAAGACCAAAAAGCAAAAACAAAAACAGCCAAGACGTGGCTCATTAACAATATTTTACAAACTAACAAAATTTCAATATATCCTTGAAAAAAAACCAGTAAATAAGAATATATAGGGAAAGAATCATTGTTTTAAAAAATTTCCAAATGTGTAAAAAAGTAACAAATACAAATCATTATAAAGAGAAGTAAAAAACTAGCAATTAAATACCTCACAGATTTCACACTTTCGGCTTTGTTTTCTTTAAATCATGTTGCTATATATATATAAATGTTAAATTTCGAAAAGGATGTAATTAAAAAAGAAAAAAAAATTCATTCCTATAAGCTGTGATTATTATTTCATTACAACAAACAATACAAAATTATGACGAGACAAGGAAGACAAGACAAGACGCCTTCTACATGATAAAACAAACAAACAGACCAACAAATTTCTTCTCCTGTAGAAAAACCCATTTATGTCTTTCTTGGATTCCATTTAAACGAAAATTAAAATTTAATTTTCCAAAAAAACATATGTACACCAATCAGCCTGCAACACATCACATTAAATCACCCCATCAGAATCTCACTTTAACAAACACAACACAACAGGTTGTTCTATGTTTGACAGAGACGGATAGACATTCATTGGACTAGGATTTGATGTAAGACGAAACATAATAATTTCAATTTTATATCCCATCCGAAATGGGGGGACATGCACTCGCTCTTGATCACTCGTATATATGTAAAAAGACGTAAATGCCCTCCTCGTCCTCATATCAAAAATAGCCTAAAAGGGTTATCCAAGTCCTGTCCCGTGTTATCCAACCGGTACTTGACACAGACCCAACTGAAGGGCGATTTTTTGATGATGACTAGGGCAAGAAGGGCATTTACGTCTTTTTACATATATACGAGTGATCAAGAGCGAGTGCATGTCCCACCATTTCGGATGGGATATAAAATTGAAATTATTATGTTTCGTCTTACATCGGTCTCGGTCCTAGTGTGATGTCTGTCTCTCATCTGTGTAAAAAGACGTAAACGCCCTCCTCGACCTCGAATCAGAAATTTCCCTAGAAAGCTTGTTCAGTCGGATGTTGTCCACTACATACACAAGCCTTCTTCTAGGGCTATTTTTTTACGAGGATGAGGAGGGCATTTACGTCATTTTACACAGATGAGTGCATGTCCCACCTTTTTAGATGGGATATGAAATTTGCAATTGTTATATGTTCCGTCTTACATCAGTCTGACAGTGCTAATCCAATGTCTACATGTCAAACTCTTGTAGTACAACCTGTTATGTTATGTTATGTCTGGTATATATATAATAAGATAAGATAAGATAAGATAAGATATAGTAATAAAAGTTTCACCATGTATTGTGAAAAGTTTATGCAAGTAGTGAAACGTCTGTTTGACTTGTTTGTGGAGTAGGAGGTTTTGTCAAGGGTCTCAATGTATCCATGATGGCTGAAAACGAAGGCCGTTTCCATGGCTCACTGCATCAAAATTTCATTTTATTATTTAATTAAGAAAATTAATTTAGAGCATAAAAGAATAGTTTATAATATCTTTGAACTGACTTTGCCCAACAGGCTTCAATCAAAGCTGCCACTTGAGGGTTTACATCACGAGGAATCTCAAGCCTCTTGCATTTAAACCCTACAGCTGCCACAACCTAAAAAAAAAAGATTATAATTAATAAAACATGTATTTGTGTGATTTTGGAATCCTAGTAATAATAAATATGAAAATCGAACCTGTGCAGGATTTAGGTTACCCCAGGGTTGTTGCAAAGTAGCAAGCTCCCATAAAATCACACCAAAACTGTAAACATCTGATTTCTCATTTGAAGGTTCATCACGAAGAACTTCAGGTGCCATCCATTCAGGCTATATATTTATATTTTAATACACAAACCGTTTTCAATTATTTATAATTATATATCTTTTTTTTTTAATATACAAATAGAATAAAGAGGAAGGAAGGAAGGAAGGAAGGAACTCACTGTTCCTGCTGCAGTCTTGGATGAAAGAAACGTGTTTGCTTTTAATCTCGAAAGCCCAAAATCACACACCTGATAAATTAAAATAAGTTATTTTACCAAAAAAAAAAAAATGTTGTTAATAATTCTGTGGTTTACCTTTACTGTGTATTTCCTGTCTACTAAAAGATTTGGAGATTTCAAATCTCTGTGAACAATAGGAGGATTGCGTCTGTGGAGATAATTCATTCCTTTTGCCTATACCAAAAAAGAACCCATTCATATTAATATATTAATAATTGACAGAAGAAAAAAAAAAAAAAAAGAGTAGTAAAAGGTTAAAGGTGGCTACCACATCATATGCCATACTCAGCCTTCTCCTCTCATCCAATGCCTCTTTAGCTCCAGGTTTATGCAACAGCCTATACAAACTACCCCTGCACTTGAAAAATATTACAAAATTAGCCCACCATACAAATATATTAGCATCAAGCTCCAAAAATTGTTTTAAAATGTAGAGGGACTAAACCTGGACAAATATTCTGTCACTATTGACAGGTTTGGAGGCTGAGTGACTGCTCCCATAAAAAGAACAATGTTTGGATGCCTTAATCGTCTCATTATTGCAACCTAAATCAAAGTAACAATTAGAATAATCAAATTAATAATATAATATTTTAATATATATTAAATTTAAACTAAATTACACTAGGACTCACCTCCTGCAAGAATTCGTTCAACCTCTCTGGATGAAAATCTTGTTCTAAAAGAATTTTCACAGCAACATCCTGGAAAGCAGTGGAGTTTGTGAAGTTTTAAATGAAAAGACCAAAATACCCTCATTACATATATATAATAAAAACAAGAAAAAGGTGTATTACTTACAGAGCCATTCCAATCAGCACGATGAACAATACCAAAAGAACCTGAAAATAAAAAGCAATTTTTATAAATCTTGTAACTTCAATGCATTTTTTGTAATTTAAAAAATCTTGAGCAATTCGTTTGTTTATTTTTTTATTTTCAATAAATAAATTTACAAAGACAAAAGGCTGCATCCTACTTTCATTTATTTCTATTACAGCAACTCACTTTCAATTATTTTCTTATTAAAGCACTGAACTTTCAAAAGTTTTTATAAAAGCATCATACTTTGAAAAAACTATCCAAAAATTGGTTCAGATTTGAATGTAGGGTTAATCTCTTAAAAGACCTTATATTTTTTGTTTTTTCCGGATTAAACCTCAACTTTATTCTTTTTCCTGAAAAAGCTCTAGCATTTTTCAATTTTTCCGATCTGGCCCTTTTAATCGTTTTTTTGGGAAAAACTTGGAACATGTGAGGGTTCATCGAGAAAAACAAAAAAAGTTGAGGGTTTATTTGGAAACAATTAGAAGGTTGAGGGTTTTCTTCGGATAAAAAAAACAAAAAGACAATGTTAAGGGTTTTTTCGTGAAAATTAAAAAAATACAAGGTCTTTTTCAGGAAAGAAAAAAATAAAGATGAGGTTTAATCTGGGAAAAAACACAAAATATAAGGTCATTTATGAGATTAACCTATTGCTATAATTGGGTAGTTTTTTTCAAAGTAGGATGCTATAAGTATAACAAAAGGTTAATCTCAAAAAATGACCTTATATTTTGTGTTTTTTTGGGGTTAAATCTCATAAAAGACCTAATATTTTGTGTTTTTTCCGAATTAAAACTCTAACTTCATTTTTTGCCTGAAAAAGACCTTGTATTTTTACATTTTCTCCGAAAAAAATCCTCAACCTTCTAACTACTTCCAAAGAAACCCTCAACTTTTTTAGTTTTTCTCGAAAAAACCCTCACATTTTACTATTTTTTGGAAAAAAAAAACGACTAAAAGGGCCAAATGAGAAAAAATGAAAAAATTCAAGGTTTTTTTCAGACAAAAAATAAATTTGAGGTTTCATCTGGAAAAAAACCAAAAAATATAAGGTCTTTTATGAGATTAATCCTTTTTCCAATTAAACCTCAATTTTATTTTTTGCCTGAAAAAAACCTTGTATTTTTTTACTTTTTCCAAAAAAAGCCCTTAACTTTGTATTTTTTTTTCAAAAAAAAACGCTCAACCTTCTAACTACTTCCAAATAAACCCTCAACTTTTTAGTTTTACCCAAAAAAAAACCCTCACATTTTACAATTTTTGGGGGGGTAATCTCATAAAAGACCTTATATTTTGTGCTTCTTCATAATTAAACCTCAACTTTATTTTTTGCCTGAAAAAGACCTTGTAGTTTTTCATTTTTTCCAAAAAAAAAAAAAAGTCAGATCAGATAAAATGAAAACATACAATGTCTTTCTCAAGCAAAAAATAATATTGAGGTTTAATCATGAAAAAACACAAAATATAAGGTCTTCTATGAGATTAACAAACAAACCAACTATAAGTACATTGTTATAGGAAAGGAATTCTCCAATTAAGTCCCAACACTTTGTGGGCCAGTTTACAGTTTAATCCCAACTTTTATTTTTTAAACTAGAAAAAACCTTGATTAGATAATTGGGACTTTTCTGTTTAAAAAACAAATGTTGGGATTAAAGTGTAAAGTGTTTATGAGAGAGAGAGAGAGAGAGAGAGAGATTTGTGGATTTTGACCTGCTCCGATTCTTTCTTTCAAAACAAGATCACTCCAAGGAATGTCCAAATCTTCAACATCCATGGTGAAATTGCCTCTGTCTTTATGGGGTTGACTTTGACCACTATTTTCAAACCTCTGAATCTGATTACTAGGCACTTCCATTCGTGTATTGGAAGACACGACATATGCTTGGGATTGGGATTGGGAATCCCTTTTTGAGGTGCCCGTGATGTTCTGGGCATATACTTTGGGCAGATGTGAGCTTCTGTCATGACCTTTCGGGCGGAGGGCAGCTTTTGAAGGAGGCAAACGGGACCCCAACCCTTCATTGCTGTTGCTTGGACTATTACGTATTATATCAACATGACTTTTTTCAGATTGTTTTGGGTAGATTGCATCAACAATATCTCCATCACCTGAAATCATGATAATTACACTTTTTATTATTTGTTTTTTTAAAAGGAACCTTTATTGCAAAATAGATGAAGTTATGTTTTTAGTCCCTAAGTTTAGGGTTTGTTTTTTAAACAAACCTTCTTGCAATTTCGGTCCTTATTTGAGGGTTGCATAATGATTTTGCTCCGAGTCTCATTGAAAAAGATGATTTTTTTTTATTTAAAAAAAAAAAAAAAAAAAAAAACTCCTGAAAAGCTAGTCCAAGTAGCTTTTAAGCTAGCTGTGGCGTGCCAAACATAGCCTAAACCAATTAGATTTTCTGATTTTGGTTAAATTAGTATTTCATTAGTTTAACCAAACTCAGAAAATATAATGGTTTTAATAAAAATAAAGTAATGAGTTTTTCAAGCATTGGGGGATAATATGTTGGGTTTTTTTTAACAAATACCGTTTTATTATTTAGCTTATATTTATATTATTATTACATTTGGGTGGGTCCCATCACAGCATAGAAAGACCTCAATTTTTATTTCTTTTCAAATATGATTTCATCAATTGTTAATAATTACTTAATTGTTTGTTTATTATGAATTATTATTACCTATACTGATTTAGGGTCACATAAAATCTGATTTTAACTGTTAACCTTTGCTAACTAGGAGAATGTTAATTATTGTTAGTGTTTGCTGAAAATCAAATTGTTTTAATTATTATTTTGTTAAACTTTGTTGAAAATCATAGTTTTATTCTTTGGGTTTGCTTATTGCTATTTATTATAGTATTATTAATTTTACATATGATATGTATATATGTAGAAAGATTAAATAATTAAGAAAACTTACCAATAGATGGATCTTCAAATACAAGATTCAAAGATTCACAATCAGCAAAATACTGTTTAGCAAGTGATCTGAAATCAACCATGGGTTCAACTTGTCTAAAACGTGGGAACCTCAATGGGGAAGAAATTGAGATTGTTGATGGACCATTTAATAAAGAATCTGGCTCACACAGGCATCCTGGATTCCCTACTAAATCAACAAGAAGCTCCCTGCATAAACAAAAAAATAATTAATTAAAAATTCATAAACTTGTACATATATGTATATGTAATGATTTTGAAGGCATCATATAAAGTTAACCTGTCAACACCAAAACGAACAAGGCAAGAAGAAGCATCATCTCTTTTACAGTATTTGCAGCCCTTGGCAATTCGACATGGTAAATCAATTGTATCTGCTAAAATCTGTTGATGTTTTTAATAGAAAAAAGAAAATGTAAATACCCTTTAAAGGGTTTTTGTTGTTGAAAATATCAAAACACTAAAGAAACAAGCAATATAGTGAAAAGAGTGGATTGCAAATCTGGTTGTTGTGATTTTACCTGTTTTCTCTGGTTTAGGTGCAAAAAAGAAAATGTTTTTGCAATTTTGGTTGTTGTTTCACATGGTTTTGTGAACACTTTTGGTATCTGGGTCGTTTGGGTTAACAATTGAGGTATTATATTTGCTAAAATGACCATTTTGCCCTCAGATTGATTTTTTTTTTATTAAATATTGTAGGGTCAAGCGGGGGAAAGATGGTTTTTGGATAATATTAATAGTAAGAGTAAGTTACAAAAATGGTCCATGTGCTTTCTAACTTCTCCATGTTTAGACCAAAATTTAAAAAAAAAAAAAAATCAATTTTGCTCCCTAGAACTTTGAAATAAGCATCAAAAGTGAACAATCTTTCAATTTTGGACTAAACACAAAAAAAAAAATCAAAAAACACAAGGTCCATTTATGTAATTTAATCTAAAAACAACAACAATAATAATAATAAATCATGAGGTGGGTTGTAAATTTAAACAACCTAATAAAAAACAGTGAAATTTGAACCAGAATTGCAAAAAAGATTTCATTTTGGACATAAACCAAAGAACAGCTAAACATAGGGACCATATTTGTAACTTACTCTGCATATTTTATTTTATTATTCCAATAATAAAATAAAATATAGATCTACAAGTAACTTACTTTAAATAGTAAGGCCCGATGTCTGCAAAGGCCAACAGAGAGGCTACCCATTGGAAGCACAACAGATCCTAAACAATCTTTCAGATCCTCACTGCATTCCTTCCACATTGAAACTAACTCATCTTCACCACTTAAAGTTGTGCCCCTTGTAATAAGATAATAAATAAATAAATCATAAGATAAAATTAAAAAAAAGATGCATAAAATTTCTCAAAGTGTAGTGTTTGGTATTATTATGATGGAACTGGAGAAGGAATGGAATCATATATTACATTGGAATGAGAAAAGCTAATGGTCTATTCTTGAAGGAATGTGTGATTACTTCCATTTTGTCATTGTTCATTGCATCATGGAATAGGATAGAAAATTGCAATATAACACATTTTTATTTATATATTAATATTATTGGCACAACTTTGTTGATATTTTCACAATTTTTATTAGATTACAATTTTATTTTATAAAAAAAAATGCTAGAAAATAGTTTTTTACTATAATTTTATTTGGGTTTGAATGAGTTTTTATTATGTTTAAAGTTCTGGGTTAATCTCATAAAAGACCTTATATTTTGTGTTTTCTTCCGGATTAAACCTCATCTTTATTTTTTTCCTGAAAAACACCTTGTATTTTTTTCAGTCATTTTTTTCGAAAAAAACTTGTAAAAAGTTGAAGTTTTTTTCGGAAACAGTTAGAGGGTTGAGGGTTTTTTCGGAAAAAAATGAAAAAATACAAGGTCTTTTTTGGGAAAAAAATAAAGCTGAGGTTTAATCTGGAAAAAAAAAACAAAAAACAAAAAAAAAACAAAATATAAGGCCTTTTATGAGATTGACCCTAAAAAAAATTATAAATAAAAATTAAATAATGTATGGGTCAATTGTGAAACTACTTTTACTGACAAAAGGTGCATAAAAACCTTGAATACTTTTTTTTTGCAAAATGACATCATCATTTCGCAAAATTCATTACATTTCCCAATATAATTTCAAAATATGATTCTTTTTTTTTTTGGACCATTCATAAAGCAATTTTGCAATTCACAATTGACCCCTTTGAACAATTGATGATCATTTTCTTTTAAGGGTAAAAAAGGTGACCACTTTGGTCATTTTCATGTTTATCCCTCTAAAATTATGGATTACACTTTCACATGATATTATGAAAACTCATTCTATTCCTATAGGCCAACCTAACATGACAATGGAATGGTTATAACTCATTCCATTCCATTCCATTCTTTTGTAATTCCATTCCATTTCCATCCAACAAAACAAAACCTTACACAACAATAAACTAAAACACAAACACTCACCCCATTCGATTGCATACAAGCTTTGCAAGTTGATCAACAACTTCTAATGTAGTAATGCTATTACATGAAATGCTATGAATCCGATTTTGTAGTTCCCTGAGGCTGGGATCATTACGCCTATCAATCAAGATCACTTCAATGGAAGATTCATTTGCAATATCAATGGCCTTCAACAACTCAAGTGATGGAATTCTTCCACTCTCTTGTAGATCACAGCACATCATCCATACGTATGGATCCATTCCATATATCAAGTAAAACCCATCAGGGACTTTGTCAAAGTATGACAAACACCCATTTGCCTAATACAATGTAACCCTTAGAAGTTGGAATAAGTCAACATGGATACTTTGAGCTTATAAAGATTGTCATTTTGAAAACTTTAACAAGTGAATGGTAAATATTTAATTTAACAACTAGGGGCCAAAACCATAGAAAAATGAAACAATTGTAAGCATCTCAAATTTATAAGCATGGTACTTCTTGTATCATTGAACTTAGCAAGCATTTGTTCTTCGCAATTAGGTATACCCTAATTCGAGTTTGAGGCGAAAAAAACACTTGATATGATTACAATGTCAAGGTGCATTGGGACATTTTTACATTAATTTTGTTCCTCACCCATCATTCAAGAAACAGAAAAAGGAAGAAAAAAAAAAGGCATGCTAGTATACGAGATCAACATTTCTCTAATGTGAAATTGGATTACCAATCAACAATTCTCAGGCAAGATAGGCCATATATTTCTCTATAGAGGCATCAAAATTGTAGGTACAGGTTCACTGTTTTGCAAGTATTGGTCTATAAAGAAAGTCGTTCTCATGTCACATTAAAGCATTGTTAACCCCTTTATTCTACAGTAGCAGATTTTTCAAAATATCTATCCATGCTTATTTAAGTTGAGTTCACAGTAATAATGTGTTGCACTTACTTTTATAACATGCATTATAATAGGTCATGAAACCAAGAATCTTCCCAAGAAAACATGATCTCCAAAAAAAAAAAAACCTCTATGAATGACAAATATGCTATGCAAATTTCTGTCCTCAAACCTCCTAGGATCCTACAGAGAAACATGAGGAGTTCTTTCCATAAAGTCTAGTTGTACTCATAGCGTTTCATTCATGTATTTCAAGCAAGAATATGAAACCAATTACCAAACCCAAACATAATGCTACGGGATTAGCAGTTAATATGTTTGCAAACTCAAACACACACAGAGATAGCAGAACCACATACCCAGAATCGATGTGATAAACCTTCTGCAGATGTCGTAGAACCGGATGACCTCGACCCTGCGGTTTCTTCCGTCACAGGATCTAGTAAATTAGGATCATCAGCACACATAGCTTCAGACGAAAGCCGTAGCGCCAAAGCCAACTGCAATTGATAACTCTCCTCCGTTTGTTGTGCCCAACTTTTCGATGAATAAGACCCTCCCCCACCACCACCACCACCAGCAGTCTCCGAGGATTTCAACCTCAACACCTCACCACCACCTCCATCCGGCAAGTGAGCATAAGCATCGGGATCACCACCTCCACTGTTCACCGCCGCCGACAAAGACGGAAGAAAGTAATCACCCGAAATAGAACTCTCTCCGTAACTACTCCCGCTCGATTGTCTCTGCAATCCACCGATCGAGGCCGGAAAGGCCGTTTGGCGAGGTTGCTGCATCCTCTGATCAGTTGTCATGTTCATCAAATCCCAATCGAATCCAGCTCTTTCGTTCCTCTTTTTTTCTCCGGAGTGAGAGTGGTGAGATGAGTCGTATGCGCCGCCGCTTCCGGTGCCGCCGGAGAAGATCGACGGAGGAGGAGGTTGCGGTGGCTGGAGGTGATCGTCGTCGGGAATCTGAGTCAACAAGGTGTAATTGGTACGTCTACCAGGCATTGCCATCTAGAACTAACAAAGTTAAATCGAATTAAGTTGTGTGATTCTCTTCGGTGATTAACCCTACAAACCACCAATTCAGTGAGTGGGGTCACGCGGATAAAAGGGGATGTTTCGGGTTTTCGCGGTGGCGTAATCCCATGGGAAAATTATCATCCGCATCCCATGGTTTCCGTAATCCTAGGTACATTACTTTTAAGAGGAAATTAATTAAACTATAATAAACTAATGATTTTTCATTTTCATAACATAATCAAATTAGACATTTTCACAAAATAGTCACACAAAGTCACAAATCACAAATAAAGGAGCCTCGTATGTGGTTTCATCAACTTCGTCTTAGGTTTTGTCATAACCGGCCATATCATGCCTTTGGTTTGTACAATTAGACCGAATATCCGAACTGAAACTGAAATTTATATCGGACTGACCCGAATTAGGATAGAATAAGTTGTTTGGGTCGGTTTTCGGGTATCTATTTTTGCCCAATCCGGGTTTCGGATTATTCGGTCAGGATTATTCGAAAATGTTTAATCGGGCCAAAAAGACCGACCCGAAAAGTGAATAGTCATTTTAACCGAATAACTCAAATAAACTGAAATGACCCGAATAACTCAAATAAACCGAAATGGTCCAAATAACCCAAATAAGAAAATTTTATATCTAGTTCAAGAAAAAAAATATTAATTTAATTTTTTCTCTTGAACTAAATATAGAATTTCCTTATTTAGGTTATTCGAGTCATTTCGATTTATTTGGGTTATTCGGGTCATTTCGGTTTATTTTGGTTATTTGGTTCAAAAACATAGTTTAAATGTTTATTTGGGTTATTTTGGTCCTTTCGGGTTAATAATTATACGTCTATACCAAAACTCATATTACCCGAACCGAACTGGTCCCGTATTAGTATAATCGGTTTGGGTTTCGATTCTTACTATTCATCCAATTTCGGGTTTCAGATTCGGGTCGGTTCCAGCCCGAAGCACCTCCCTAGTTTTAAAAACTATTCATTCGAATCGGTTGGACTGGGAAACGGAACAGTTCAAATATCATTGGTTATATACCTATTTTTTAACCACAACGAATCGCACGATTTTTACAAAAACTCGATTGAACTGGTTAAATTGAATAAAAACACATGAAAAATAATCATTTTGCATAATAATTTGTGTGGTCTTTTTCACATCTATTTAAATTTATTTAAATAAAAATATGTGATAAATGTTATGAAATTTTTTGATGCATTTGTGTTCATCTAAAACTATACTTTTTCGATATTATATTTTATTTTATTTTTTATGTATGTATATTGATGTAAACTTATGGTTAAATTTTTTTTAATGTGTTTTGAATGATCTACAACTTGTTTTTATGTTTATTTTTAATGTTTGAACTCGTAAACCTCAAATTCTTGTATGTATGTATGTGTATGAAAATAGAAAAAAATATGAAAATTATAGAAACCAGTTGACTCGGGGGTCGAAACCGATTGAACCCGGAACCGATCACCCCATAGCAGTTCAACTAAAAAAACTAGTTTTTAAAACATTTGTTTTGTATGTTGGCTATGATTCCATGGTTACGTCTTCGATTTCGTTAAAAAGAATCTAAGATAGCGAATCGTAGATGACATTTGGCCATTTGTGGTTTCCTCCTTTTATTATGTCTAGAATTTTTTCAAAAAAAAATAATCAAATGTAAGTTTTAATCCGATTTTTTTTCAATTTTCATGTGTTGGAAAATTCAAGACAATTAAGCAGTAAAAAATCACATGAAGAATGAAATCGTAGATTAACATCATCTACGGTTTCCTTAGCTTAATCTGTGATTTTGTTCGTTGCTTTTTTTTTTAATTATAGCCTAAAATCATGCAAGATAGTATTAAACATTAATTGATAACACATAACAAAAAAGAATTGAACAAAATGGATAATATGGTAAACGAAACCGAAGATGACATTGCCGTCTGCGGTGGTACAAATTTGTAATGCAAAATATATGCATTATAAACTTGTATTGTTGTATATATCAATGTCATCTTTGGTTTCTGTTACGCCTTGTTCTGGGTACGTCTTTAATCTATCTATTGTTTTGATTTAAGTTAAAGAACTAGAATTTGGGCATTTTACGACACAATGGATTGATGATGTGGTATCTGTCACATCATTAAGTCATGACGCGACTTTAGTGATCGTCGTGGCGTGACCTCAATGTTTGCAAAAAATAAATATGTAACATCCTGTATCGAATCGTTTCATAATTCGGGGTCGTGACCCGAATATCGGTTATCATGAGGCTTAGAGCCTTTGGGAAAGAGGGATTTAGACCTATTCGGGTGTGGATAATGTAAGTTAGAAGATTTGGGAGTTTGAATTGTGACTTGGAGCCCAAGGGTATAATCGTAAAGTGGCAGCTCGGGCCTTTTATGAATTTTGGGTTTAAGTTCAGAAAGTTTTAAGACAAATGAGAGTTAATAGAATTATAGGGTTTCTTATTACCTTTTCATGGATATAAATAACATCGAAATTAGACTTAGAAGAAGAAGTTATGGCTGAATGAAGTTATGAGTGTTTTAGAACTTAGGCTAGTACGTGGGGCATACTCTTTGAGTACGCAAAGCGCAGTGAGGAGAATGATCGGGGGTGGCCTTCGAGTACGACGGGCATACTCAGGAGTACGGAGGGCGTACTCCAAACAGCTAGAAATCGTAATTTTAGGGCTTAAGCCCTATTTAAACATCATTATAGCCCTTTGACCTCTACCCTCATCAACCCCCATTGTTCATTTCATCCCATTGAAACCCTAATTCATCCTTGGAGTGTTCTTGAGCTTTGATGTAACACCCCGTTTATTTATTAGATAAATAAATAAATTAATAAACGAATAGTATCCCTAAAATAAATATTTATATATCAAAGGTTGATCTCGAGGAGCTAATTGTCACACTTTAAGAGATTGGGGGTTAAAAGTATAAAATCTGGACTTAATTTGTAAGTATTAATGAAGGTAGGGACTAAATAGTAACTTCTGGGACTTCATTTGAAGGGGTTTTGGAGGCTTAGGGGTTGTATGGTAAATTAGGGATCGAAATTGAAATGAATTTATGGAAGCAAGGGCAAAAGGGTAAAATTATGACTTAAACTAAAAAGGTATTGGATTGTTAGGGGCTATATGGTAATTTATAGAGTGGTTGTGAAAAGAATTTGTGGGGTAGGGATTGATTTTGTACAAAATAAAATAAAGTTTGTATGGGATACGGGTATTTAACCCGTCACCATGCACCGGCCTCCTAAAACCCTAAACCTACTATATTATATGCAGCCACCGCTCTCACCTCACCCATCTCTGGCGCCACTGCTACCTCCGACCACCTAGCACCGTCAAACGACTCCTGTCGCCGGCAATATCGGACACCAATGTGTGACAACCTGAAAAAAATTTGCTTTAAAATGCAGTCCAAGCAACCTTAAGTCAGACTCACTCCTACTAACATTTGGCATTGTTTAGAGCCAGTTTGAGTGTTATGAGCCCAATACACTCAAGGAATGAGTGCTAGGAAGTACCAGCTAGAACCACAAAACAATGATCGAGCCTCAAACACCAACATCATGAGTTCACGGCCACCACAATGGAGTTTACGGTCGTAAACTCCATGTAGACCATAAACTCATCCCATATGTGTAAGTCTTGGCCATTTTTCTCATTTCTTTCCTTCCTTGGTTGATTTTCCCTCATTCTCTCTCAACTGTCATCCAACTTTCCATCCTTAGTGATGAGATTTAAAAACTCTTTGATCGATTAGATCTTTGTAACAGGCAAATAATGAACGTAAAAACAATGAGATAAAACACAAGTATGGATCTGAATGAGTCGAATGATTAGATTACTCAATCCTCAGCAGAGCTCGATTAAGAACTTCCGCTGTAGAGGATTCTAGGGTTACAAAAGATATCTTGAAAACCAGACGTGAAATCTACTGCAAAAAAAAAACTCTTTAAAAAGATGCATGCAAGCATCTATTAATACTCAAACCCTAATAAACAAATCACGGATGGACAGGCCCATACCTGATACAAAAATAGGGTTGTGAACCGAGCCCATGACGCAACACACTGCTCCCAACAATCTCACCCTTTGCGTCAAATGGGGCGAGACTCTACTTCGGCTTGCTAGACCCCTCAGCGTCAGCTTTCTTTGTGACTTTGAATAGGCAGGGAATGATGACAAAAAGAGTTACCCTGAAGCGAATGTACCACTGGATCATATCATTGAATTACTTCTTGTCACTGTCCGAGTTTTGCTTGCATCGATTGATAATTCCCAGAACATACTCTAGACAAGATGTAGTGTAAAGATGCTTATCTGCTAGGGCAAACAGACACTTCTGACCTTCTCCTCTAGTGAACATTACTGAGTTTCGTTTTGAATCAATTCTCCCCATCTGCATTTTGTTTAGATCACTTGCAGAACCGACTGGGGCGACTGTAGGCTTCTTTCGGAGGACATTTGCAATTTCTTGATCCAGCTTGGCAACCTCAATGACATAGCATCCCAACATCCTCTTTAGGTGTTCTATGATCGGCTCATATTCCTTTTCATTGGTGAGGAGGATATTGTTCAGAATGATCTAGTCATGAGGATTTAAGTTGGGAAGATCAGCAAGAGAAATGGCATGTTCGATCTTCTCTAATCCCCTCAATATCTTGAAATGAACATTGACGAAGTTTCCCTCTTTTGCAGGTTTAAGGACATGGACGTTGATGATTTTTTGTGCACTCCAGGTTTTGAACTGAGGTTGAGCGTACCTCAAGTAGAAATCAATCAACTCCCTGTCAACCTTCGGGTGAGGATGAGGGACTTCAGCAATGTGACTGAAGGCATGAAAAATGAAGGCCTTTCGGGTCAGGGGCATGTCGAACTGGGAGTCGACAGAATTGTCTTGATCTAAGGAGATCACAGGTTCCAGCCAGAGGAGACTTGGAGACTCGATAGCTTCTTTG